GATTTAAAGGTAAAAGTTTTACATGTTATGTGCAATTTCACTAGCAATAAAAAATTAATTTTTAAAAAAAGTTTTAGAACAATGAAACTTAAAAAAAAAAAGCAGAAGAAGAACAGAGCACAGCTCCTGGCTGGGCCAAGCCCTCAGTAACATGAGTGTTGTTTTGTTCTTTCCTCTCATAACCAGACTTCAGACACCATCTCCTCCCTCCAGAACTTTTTTTTTTTCTGATGGTGGTCCTGGGGATAGAACCCAGAACCTTGTGCATGCTAAGCATGTGTTCTACCACTAAGCTATTACCCTGCTCCAAATGCACTTCAGTCTATTTTGTCTTTGTGTTTTTTTTTCTTCAATGGATGTACTGGGGATTGAACCCCAGGACCTTGTGCATGCTAAGCATGTGCTCTACCACTGAGCTATACCCTCCCTGTCCCTCTGCATCAGAGAGTCCTCTTTGCCCAGGGTCTCCTCTGCTCCATGCTCGTCTCTGCCCACAGCCCCGGCTCCCACTCCCATCAATACTTTCTTCAAAAATCTGGCTTCTCCCTAAGTCTTCCATCACTCCCTCTTGGCCTCCTACCCCCTAAACTAGGGGTCTTCTTGTGGTCCCAGGAAGATGCCCCTGGTCTCCCCACTCTGTACAATCTCCCCATGTGAGCCCCGCGGTGCTCTGGTTTTCAGGGCCGTCTGTCTGTGCTGGTAACACCCCACCAGTGTCTCTCACCGGACAGTGCTCCTAAGCTCCGGCCCGAGGTCTGCAGTGAGAAGCTTAAAGGCTCTTCTCTCCGCTGCTTAGAATCGCCCTTGGCCCTGCCCTCACGGCCACCTCTCCCTCTAGCACTCTGGGCCGGCGCCATCCTCCTGACTGACTGAAGGTCCCTACTCAGAGCTGCGCTCCTCCCTCCCACCCCCACACCTCACTCCGCCCATCCCCCCGATGAACTCCTACTCATCCGCAGTGCCCGGCTTAGACAGCCCGCTCTCTGGGAACACTTTTCCCTGCCCCTGGGACTTCATCAGGCCCTCAACACCCCTGGTCAGAGCACACATCACACCAGACTGAGTTTCCTTTTGCCCCTTATAAAAAAAGTGCAGGCTAAAAGGACACTGCGGATTTGGTACATCAGCTCCATTTGTTGTCTGCGGCAGCTGGTGTGAACGGGCTTGGCGTGAAGGTGGTAGGGGTGGGGGTGAGATGGTCATGGCTCCCTTGGTGGATAGACATGGGATGGGGCTGGGGAGAGCCTGGACCAGAACCCTCCCCATCCACCTGGAGGATATTCTCCTCCCACTGCCCTAAACACACCTTCACAGAGGAGGTGTGTGTGAGGATTCAGAAGCACAGAGACTCCCCAGGAGCAGGGACCGGCCCTGGGGCGGAGACGGGAGGAAAGTGATTTGGGAGTCAGCCCCGGGGTTGCTGAGGGAGGGAGAGTGCAGAGACGTGGCCTCCTGAGTCACCGCGTGGTGGTCTGGGATGGGCTGCCCAGGCCCAGGGACAAATTGCAGTCATTAGGGAATTTAAGAGGCTGGGGGAGGAGCTGAGGGCAGCGGGCCCTGCCCCAAGTTAGGATGGGTGCCTCGAACCCAGACCCACCTCAGGCTCCCTAGTGCATCGCTCTGTCTCTCCTGCTCTCTCTGGGTCTCTATACGCCCCCTCTCTGGTCCCTGTCTCCCTCTCTCTCCTTCTGGGTCCCTGTCCCCCTCTCTCTGGGTCTCTGTACCTCTCTATCCCCCAGCCTCTCTGCAGAGCCCTAGTCGGGGGCACCAGTTCTGCCCTGATCCCCCTTCCCAGCCCCCTGCCCGGGCCCCTGCTCTCCCACCTCTCAGGACTGTGAGGACCACAAAGGGAGAAAGTGTAGGGGACAGGCAGGCTCAGCACCAGGTGCCTCCAGCACCTCCTCCTCCTCCTGCCGTTTCCCCATCCCCACCCCCTGCCTCCCTCTCTTCCTGTCGTCTTTCATCTCTGCCTCCCTGTCTCCTCTGTGGCCCTGACTCCCCCATTGCCCTGCTGTCCTCTGCCTGGTCCTGCATCTCCCTCCTCCTTGTCTCCCAGCGCAGCACCACCTCCCCCTCCTTCCATCAGCGCTGCTGTTGTTCTGTGTGTGTGCATTTGGAGGGTGGGGTACCTCTGCCTCTTTTCTCTTTCTCCACCTTCTTTCTCTGCTCCTGTTTCTGTTCTGTCTTCCGCTTCCTCCCTCTGTTTCTCTGCTTCTCTCTCTGGCTCTTCCACTCTCTTCTCTCTGTGAATCTCAGGCCCTGTGCCCACTCCCCGCCCAGCTTGTTTTTTTTGCCTCTGTCCCATCGACATTCATCTTCCTGCTCTTCCTCCATCTCCCTCAAGCCCCTCTCCCTCTGACACTTCTTCCTCTGGCCTGTGTTTCTCTTACTGTTTCTCTGCCTCTGTCCCTCCCTCTCTCAGCACCTCCCAGCACTTTTCCCTGAACCTTCACTACCACCCCATCCACCCTGCCCTGGGGTCCCTCTCCCTGGGTTCCTCCTAGATTATAACACATTCACCCACTGGGCAGGCGGGTTCTCATTAACAATTGTGGCTGCTTCTCTGGCCAGAGAGGTGGAGGGAGGAGATGGGACCAGGGATCCTGGAATGGGAACTAGGCAATTAAAAAAAAAAGTCAAGAGATGGGCGGGGGGGGGGCAGGGCCAGCTACTCAGACCAGGGATAAAAGGCCTCCGTGAGTGACAAAGAAGGAGGACACGATCCCCACTTCCTCCAGGCAGGAGACAGCAAGGCAGGACCCAAGCCCTTCTCAGCCACCAAGGAGCCCCCAGACCCTGCCCTCCAGGTCTCTGGCTTCTACCCTACGCCTCATCCATGTCTCTAAGCGTCTTCGTCTCTGCATGAGAGGCTCTGTCTGTCTCTGTCCCACCACCTCTGGGTCTCTTGCAGCCTCCTTCTTCCTCACTTTCTCTCTTTCCATTTGCCAGAATCCAACCCCAACCCCCAGAATGTTCCTCCTGCTGACAGCACTTCAGATCTTGGCTGTAGGTAAGATGCAGTGGGGTCTGAGGGCTCTGAGAAGAGATGGGGAAGGATTCTGGGGACCAGGGATACTCGCAGGTGACCTGGTGGGAAGGAGTGGGGCGTAGCTTGGGGATCCTGGCAGAGGAGGACACTGGAGGCGATGCCCAAGTTCTGAGTCGTGGAGATATTGGGAGATTGCAGGCTTGTAGGAGACAGAGGTAAATAAATGAGGAATTGTGCACAACCAGCAGGTCTTGACTGGGTCTTCTTAGAAAGGAGGACCATGGGACACTTCTTGATTGTGTCAGAGAAAGAGTGAATATGGGAGAGACAGCGTGTTGTCAGAAATGGTGGAGGGGGTGATGCCGGGGTGGTGGGCTCCTGGTAGGGAGAGTGGTGTGGCCTGCAGAGTGGGCGTGGGGTGACAGAGTGCATCCTGGGACACGGGGCAGGTCACACGTCGGAGGGAGGGACGGGGAGCTCCCTGATTGTGCTGGAGGGTTCCTGGTTGGAATTGTGGTGTATTGTGAAAAGTACTGATAGAAAACGCTTGTGGGCAAGTGGAGGCAATGTTAGGAGATGGATCAGGGCCCCGGATAAAGTAGCCCTGGGGTCCGATAATAGACACTATGGAGGTGCCTAGGGGTAAGGGGGTGTCAGGAAACCCCCCGGCTGTGTTGGGACAATAATGGGGGCGATGTTTGGCATATCTCCTATTGAGTGGGGTAGATAAAAGTGGGTGGTTTAAGGATTAGGCAAAGAAATGGGGATTTGTGGTCCCAGATACCCTAAAGGTTTGGGGGGGTGGAGGGCCTGAGTTCATTTGCTTTCCCCACCCCGCCTCACCCCTGCCTCTCCCTAGCCCTGGCACAGAGCCAAGGGAACGAGAACAAGATAATTGGTGGCTACACCTGCACCCGGAACTCCCAGCCGTGGCAGGCGGCCCTGCTGACAGGCCCCTCGCGTCGCTTCCTCTGTGGAGGGGTCCTGCTGTCCGACCAGTGGGCCATCACTGCTGCTCACTGCGCCCGCCCGTGAGTCACCCCTTCCCATCCTGGGCCAAGTGAGTCCTGGAGTCTGGAGCCGCAGAGCTCAGCTGGGCCCCTCCAGCCTGTTAGAACCCAGTGTAGTAGCTGGGTCCTGGTTTGGGGTCTAGATAAGAGCCTAGAAGCACAGACCCAGCTCAGAATATGGAATCCAGCCATACATCTTGAACTCAGTTGAGAGTCTAAAAGCAGATCAACAGGTTAGAACCCATACAACAGCTTAGGGCCCCACACAGAACCTAGAACCTAACATATAACCTAGAGGTCCATCCAGAGGCCAAGCTCTATATAGAGACTAAGATTAGAATCCTGTTCCAGACTGGTGGTTGAATTCAGGGCACAGTCTACCTCCAGAAACTCAAGACCCCTCTCATAACACTGCCTAGCGTCCAGAGTAAGGTTCAGAAGCCACAGTCCAGCTTGTGGGTTCCAGAACCTTGCTTATGGCTCAAGGCATAGGAGAGAGAGAGGACCTGGAGCCAGGTTGTCTTCTAGATCCAATGTTTAATCCAGAGTCTAGTCTATAGCTCCTCTTTGAGAAGCCTCGAACCCAGACCTTAACCCAACATCTACATCCCAGAATGCAGGCCACAATCTAATACAGAACCCAGAGCCCCTCCCAGATTCTAGATCTAAACCTCTACCTTAGACCCCAGACTAGAGGTCCAAGTCCAGATGAAAGCTCACCCAGTGCCCGTAAACCAGAGCCAATGCCAGAAACTGCAGTTCAGTATAGAACCCAGAGCCCAGAGCTCAGCCCAGAGTCTAGAACATAAAGCTCAGAATGCAAACAACATCTAGAACCTGGGATCCTGACCACAACCTGGAGCTCCATCTAGAACCCAGAGCCCAACCAGAGGCCAAGGGCTCAGACCGGAGTTTAGAACCAAGAGCCCAGACTATCACCTGCAATTGGATCTAAATTAGATCTTGACCTAGAATAAAAAATTCAGACCAGTGTTTAGAACCCTGAGCCCAACTGGAGCACAGAGCTCAAACCATTGTCTACAACCCAATTCATAGCCAGAACTTAATCAAGAGCCCAGAACTCAACCTAGAAACTGGAGCACACACCAGTATCTAGAAAGTATGCTGTAATCTGGACTCAGTCTAGAACCCAGCTCCTAGTTTAGCGTCAAAATTCAAGATGTCTAGAACCCAAAGGCCAGGCTAGAACTGGGATGGAGCCTCCCTGGGGCCAACTCCAGAATACCAATTCTGATTTAGAGCCTAGAGCCAGAGCCCAGAGTCTCACTTAGAACCTAAAGTATAGAACCAGGCACAGACCTCAGAACTCAGCCAAGAATGCCCAACCATCACCTTATACCCAAGTTAGAAGATAGAACACAGCCCAAGAGGGGATGGGGAGGGTGGTGGATTTGGGCCCCGAGAGAATGCCCAGGCTGGGGGAAAGGGTACAGGAGGCCAGCAAACACTCAGCCTGCAGTTAAAGGCAGGTAGGTTAGGCTTGAGGAAAACTCATCTCCAGGGGAGGGGGCGGGGCTGGAGGGTGGGGAGGGGTCTCCATGGCAGATGCTGAGCAGCACCACTCTTGTGGGTCATGGGCCAGGACACTTCGAGTAGCCCTGGGCAAGCACAACCTGAGGGGCTGGGAGGCCACACAGCAGGTGCTGCGCGTGGTTCACCAGGTGCGCCACCCCCAGTACAACTCCCGGACCAACGAGAACGACCTGATGCTGCTGCGGCTGGAGCGGCCCGCGCGGCTGGGGAGGGCGGTGCGGCCGATCGCCACCGCCAGCTCCTGTGCCAGCCCGGAGACTCCCTGCCTTGTGTCGGGCTGGGGCACCATTTCCAGTCCTACCAGTGAGGAGTCCTGCATCGGGGAAGACGGGGGCTAGGCCTGAACCC